ATTTTCCCAAAATCCGTCTGTCAATGCCTTTGTTGCCCCAACTTGGCCCAAGATGGCCTCCAAGACGGCCAAGATGGCCCAAGATGGCCTCCAAGATGCCTCCAGACGGCCAAGATGGCCTCCAAGACGGGTAAGATGGCTCCAAGATGCCTCCAAGACGGCCCAAGATGCCCTCCAAGACGGCCAAGATGGCCCCAAGATGCCTCCCAGATGGCCCAAGAGGCCTCCAAGACGTTCTCCAGGAGAGCCCGAAGAGGCCAAAATCATTGGTTTTCCTTAGGTTTTTGAAGGTTTTTTGCGTTTTCTTCTTTTCGGCCTTCCGACGGCCAAAGAGGCCCCCAAGATCGCCCAAGATAAAGAAAAGAGGCCTCCAAGACGGCCCCTAAGAGGGACGGCCCACGGTCCCCAAGACGCGGGAGTAGAGACGAAGAGGTGCGGGGCAGGGCGGCCCCAAGAGCGGGAGCCGCCCCAATTCGCTCCGGCGACTAGCACGCATTGGCCTCCAAGAGGCCTCCAAGACGCCCAACATGGCCTCCAAGACGGCCCTGAAGCGCCCCAAGAGGGCCCCAAGACGGCCCAGAGAGGCCCCCAAGACGGCTCCAGACGGCGTCAGACGGACCAGGAACGCCCTAAGACGGCCAAAGAGACCCCCCGGAAGCCCCCAAAGGCCCCCAAGAGGCCCAAGGAGGCCCCAAAGATGCCTCCAAGAGGCCTCGAAGAGGCCCCCAAGAAGCCCCCAACAGACCCCAAGGGTGCCCCAAGAGACTCCTAACAACCCTCATCCTCCTACTCTATTTCTTCCTCTTCCTCTTCCTGTTCATAATCGTTCTCTCCCATGTGTTCCCCGAAAGCTTTCCAAACCGACTCGGGGAACTCATGGTCCGATAGCTTGGCCAAGCTCTAGTCCAACTTTCGGCCACATCGGCGTTTCCAAAAAGGCAAGGGGCGGCGGTGATTCGCCGTAGGCGTCTTCGATAGCAATACGCGCATGTAAAGTTACTATTAGCGTGCTGACAGCTTGCTGACAGCAACTGATAGGGTGGGATCGCGCAGAGCTCATGTGTGATACGTTCAACGTGCTGAACGTTGAAGGCTGGGGGAGCCCTGTGGAAACTCTGGGCGACATGTTGAAACCCCTGGAGCAGCCCTAAAAGGCTCTCTCAGAAGCTACGCGTAAGTTTGGGGAAGCCCAGAGAAGCCCTGGAAAAGTGACAACAAATCCCTGAGAGGCCTCTGGAAGCAAGCGAAGACACGTGGGAGACTCCTGGCGGCGCCTGCGAGGCCCCTGGTCATGGAAGTGTCCTCGAAGACCCCGGCGGCCCCCGCTTCTGCGAAACCTCCACTTCCACCTGCCGCAGCCTGTCGGCATCCACACGCTGGTCGTTTAATAGGAAGGCCACGGTGCTAGACCAGGGCACGCATGTCACCGCAACTGTGCCCCCGTCCTCGAAGACCCTGGAGCACTCGGTCCTGGAAAATTCTTCGATGCTCCTGAAGGCCCTGGAGGCCAGTGTAGCATCTTGCAAGCCCCGAGAGAAGCATGTCGGAGAGGGGTGAACCCTACAGATGGCCGTGCTGATGGATCATCCCAGCCAGGCCATCTCACGACTCACGCACGCACGCACGCACGCACGCACGCACGCACGCACGCACGCATACTACACACACAGTTCCTCAAGCGGTAGAATGGCGTCACTACAGCGAGTGATAGATAGGGCGCCGAAATACTGTCAAATTCGACCCGTCGTTGCGGGTGGGTGGCTGCGCTAGAAGATTGAATGTGCAAAAAAGTAAACCACTGAGAGGGAAACAGGCGAAGCCGGCACCCACTTTTTTTGGCGTCGCGGCCATGCGCGCGGCGACAGGGCGTAGAAGGTCGGAAAACAACTAAGCAAGCGCGCGTCGAAGCAGCCTCGAGCTGCGGGATGCCCAAAGTCAGACAACGCCGATCTGGGAACCAAGGGGTCAAGAAGGAAAGCTCGGCAGACTGCCATCGCCAAGCATGGCAGACAATTGTGCGCCCAGGAGGTCCAGAACCAATCGCATTAAGAGCTCGATCCGACGCTGGCCCCCAAGTACAGGGCAGAAGTTGTTAACTTCGCGAGGCGTCACAGATGGTAAATGACGCCAGTGGCAAGGCAAGAAAGGGGGGACAAAAACATCCGATCCGCCACCGGCACTTGCAGCGACGAGTGTGTGAATGCGCGTGTATGTGTGTGTGGTGTGTGTGTGTGGGTGTGTGTGGGTGTGTGTGGGTGTTG